TAAGTTTTTAATTTTATCCATATTACTTTTAATATCCGGCGCCGCAGAAAGACGATGAAAATCTTCCATATCATTAAACGAGGAATTCTTTCTAGATACTTTATTCAACAACTTCTTACCCACTTTGGAAGTTACGATCCAAAACTAATTGAATTGAAAATCGGGTACGAAATTGGTTCAATCGACGTCGAACGATTCAAGTTATTGCAGAGAAAGGTTCGTGCACCTTGGGCGAGTGATTTACAGCTACCAGTCTTTACTTACTTACTAGAGGAAGCGTCAAAACAATTTGAACATGATTTTTACAGAGACAATGATATGGAAGATTTTCATCGTCTTTCTGCGGCGCCGGATATTAAAAGTAATATGGATAAAATTAAAAACTTAATTTTGCATAAAAAATTTATCCCATTCCCTCCAAAACCACTTCTTCCAAGGTCGTACAGACAACTTGAAACTTGTTACATACAACTTAAAATCGAACGCCCATACGGCTACGAAAGCATACAAAACCTTAATATAATTGCACGGGCAATTTTAAAGTGTGATGAATTGGTCCATATTTGGAAAGAAATTGGTTATTATGAAATATGTGATGATGTAAATGATCTCATAATACGAGGCACGCTCTTAATCCTTTGTCAGGATCGACCAGACGATAAAGCTATTATTGAACGACTTAAAAAATTAATTGATCTTGGTTTTCAACTAAGTTATTCAGTTATCAGTGACATACTTTATCTTTTTGAATGTAGGTTAGAGGATATTGGCAGAAAATTGATAGAATCGTTTATGTATATTAAAGGAGCATCACGTGAAAATTTTCTAGATCATTGTTTAGTCGAATCATTAAGACCTGAGCGTAATACGAAAAAACATCTCGTCTGGGATTTTCTCTATACACTAACACAGAATGACACAGAAACTCTATTTATTAAAGCATGTGGCCATTATTTGGACAAAAATGTAAATTTAAACATTCCTATTACGCAACTTACTTTACCATCAAAGTTTTATGCTTGGGTTCTAACCAAATTCGGCGTAGACGCGAAAATTACGAAGCTTTGTTTTGAAGACATCTTAAAAGCACGAATTAATATTGATAAACAACTTCAAAAAACCCCCAATGTTAAAATTCCTATCGAAATGAATCCAAATGTATTCAATGAACTTTGTGGTATCCTTAATGCCTATAACGAAGCTAAAAATTTTTATTCACCATCACATTTGAATATAATTTCTCAATGTAAAGCAGAGGAAATTCTGATGCCGTTATTTAAATGCCATCTACCTAAGTTATTTAAGGAAAGTATAGACAACGATATGCTACATGAATGGGAGGACGTATTACATATGTTAATGCATAATAATTTAAGTGAATCAACAGAGGAGTTTAAAAGTTATTTTCTTGGCTTTATTAATAGAAAGAAATATGTCTTTTAAAAGATCATCTTGTAAGATTTTTTAAGTTTGCATTTTATTATGTATTTATTATGTATTTATTATGTATTTATTATGTATTTATTATGTATTTATTATGATTTACTATTGTATTATACCATTTATGTAGTGCGTGTATTTATAGTTAAAAATAAGAGTAAAGAATAGTCAAATATTTTCTCAACAATTTTGTTAGTACTATTAATCCTAAATAAATACTGAACTCTATGATCTTTAGTTAAAAATAAAAGTAAAGAATAGTCAAATATTTTCTCAACAATTTGTTAATATTATTAATTCTAAATAAATACTGAACTCTATGATCTTTAGAATATTATGAACATTTGTTGCATTGGTTGTCAAAGATGTTATCCTCTTATTTGAATGATTTTCTTGAATGTTTGAGAAGATTCTTTTAAGATACTGATCCATACGCGAACTATTCCATTTTGAATTATATATTGTCATATAGGAATGAAAATATTTAATCTGTGATTTTGTGAATTTTATGAGCTTACAGAAAAGTACGTAACAATTCGTTAAATAATTCACGTGAAAGCAGGAGCCAACGGAGTTTAATGTTTATACGAATGGTGCTCAAAAAAACTAGTATCCATTGACTCCGTTGCCAACTCTGCGTGAAAGCGTATTGTCCTATTTTTTTTCTATACAATATACGATATTTCGATTGATGCTTTCAAGCGAGTACTTGAAATAACACACTTGAATTCGTCCAGTCAAATAATTATTTAAGGCAATGTAAATCTGGAGGGTATGGCGACCTGGATCTGATAGTGGGGTCAAAGTTGGTTAATTTAAAACGTGGTGAAAATATTCGGGAGCCGATTATTCGTACTCTGAAGTATGAGCTTGTTAATTTTGGATTAACTTCGTGTTTAAAGCTCAATGAGAATCTTAATCTTTTTTCGAAACTTAATATGCTTTTGAACGTTAATTTGATGGATCCCAATTTTACTGGATTGAACCTTGTTACTAAAAAAATACGTTCTATCGCATGTAAAAACGATCAGACACCTAAAATTCAAAGAAAATCGAATATAATAAATAAATAATGACATGTCGTTAGATTTAAGTCAAAATCTCGCGATGATTTTTTTTTTTTACGTACAATGCAAAGTTTCATATGCAAAATTTTGCATTATATAATCGCTATTCGTTTTTAACAGTTAGGATTCAATGCACGAAGCGCACAGCTCTGCTTATACGTAAAAGTAAATCGCATTTAATCCAGTAATCACCAATCCATTCCATCTAGCAAATCAATACTAGAACATTTATGGCTTATAATGCGGATATCCCTTTTTTTACTCTGGTGAAATGGTTTTGGATTTTGAAAGATAATTCGCCCACAATATTAGGCATGCCAATTAGGGATTGCAAACTCGAAATATGTCTGTGTCCAATAAAAGGCACAGGCATGAGACAGCTGGTTTAAACTTAAAATTGGTTCATAAGACCCAGGCATTTTTGTAGGCATAAAGTGCCATGATACTCTGTACTTACAAAACTTCTGCTCATGGGCACAGGAAACATCGCATCAGGCATGATGCCTAATATCTGTGGGCATTTGCGATCTTCAACACCTATGTACTTGCAGAGGCCATCAATTTTTGAAGACCGCCCTTGGTGAGTCGTAAAGATGGACAAGGTAATAAATAAAAAAGTAATAATTTGCTTATTTTTATGTATATATTATACAGTACTTATTACGATTGAGATAAGTATTATATCAGTCACTTTGTTTGCAAATGATGTATCTTTTGATCAAATTTTGCAGATCGCAGCTCACATGTGCAATCATTTGATTGTAGTGATTTTCTTAATAAAATTCAATAAAATATTTTATATTAATAATAAATAATCTCAAAATAATTATATTCCAGTATTCTCAATCGGACAACAATCAGGTAATTGTATGTGTGAGCTGCGATCTGCAAAATTGATCAAAGATCATTTTGCAAACAGCGATAGATCTTACAGGGTGGCAATACTTAAAGTCGAGGAATTAATGTGATTTTTTTCAAAAATACGATTTTTTTTAATTTCACGTTACACCTGATCTTGTCTCCGGAAGTGGCTACGTTAAAATACAGAACTTGTATTTTTTAAAGTTTAATTGTAATTAAGGCGCTCTCGGGCACCTCTCTCGGTGGCCAGTTTAATCAGACAGACCAATCAGGTTAATTCCACAGAGAAGTGACCCATACTGTGCCCGCGACCATGCCCAGCAATATCAAAAACATGCTTTGACTTACTAAGAAATGGGTTGCGTGTTTCGATGAGAACCTTTTAAATCAGAGTAGAATTCGTTAGAATACATGCGCAAGATATTTTTACATCAAGCAAATTTGACCATCTCTCTCCCCATTATTTTTATTTATCAGTACGTATAAAAAATACAAGTACTAAATTGGTAATCGTTGGACATCTATTAATTATCGCATATCCATTTGTAATACAAATCATCCATGAAGACCGTAATGCTTACCTTACCATAACCAAATTCAATGATATTGTTAACAAATCCTCCTGGAATGGCCACACATGTGACAATTAGTAGTGATATTAATTGTCGCACGGTTATCAAATAATGGATTTACCCGAAATCAAATTCGGGTACCAAGACTTTAACTAGAGCACCAGTTTATTTACCAGTTTATTGAGAATATGTGAGTTATGAGGTATGCAAGAATTTATTAAAAGTTAGATTGGTAAAAATGTAAAAGAAAGAAAACATGTGAAAAATTTTTTTATGATGCAAGAAATCAATGAAGAGGCAAAATTTTCAAAATTCCGCAGATAACTTTGTTCTTATAATAAGCGCTACAAAATTTATCAGTAGATTTTGAAAATTTTACCTCAACGTTGGATTGAAAGATTTTAAATTTTTTGAAACAATTGTTGCGGCTTCCTGCATCATATGAAAGGTAAATCACATTCGTCGGCCATTGCATTGCTTACAGTATCCCTAAAAATAATAACTTACCCTATAAAGTACTTATCTTCAATGAAACTACTGAAACAATGAAATAGTACCAGGTAATACTGTTCAATTTTAAAATGGAATTCTTGGATAAACAGTGAGAAACGGTAGCATTTATCAGCTTATCGAGAGTGATTTACTATGTTATAACTATTTACGGAAAGTACAAATTGCGCCATTGACGTATACGTCCAATACTGTAATTATCGACAGACATTACACTAAGTGACACATAATGTAGACCAACCCTTTAAAATACTATTTATACATTAATGTGGTGCGTAATGACAGTACTATCTACTTTATGTACGTATGTACTTGTAATATATTACATAAATTCTCACGTGCAAGCGTGCTTGAAGATGACTATGGTGTAACGTTCATACAATATCTAAATAGGAAATTCAGCAAACGATGACGACTTTGTATAATACTTAATCGATAATTGATAAATTTATTAATTGTCGAAAAGTAATATTTCTCTTATTATAGCTTTCTTTTGTTTTTGTTTTTTAATACAAACCGATTGTGGACGTCTTTCGAGTTGATATTTCTATTTTGACCTAAAAGATGAATGAACTTCAGAATCAAAATATATTATATGTGGATACCCTATGCCAAGGTTATAGAGCATTCACCTTTCTTGCTATCTAGCAGTACGCGTGTTGCTCAAAATTGGTTCCATTTCTTTGCATCGTTGGTGGACAGAATTATATTCCCCGAAGTCTCAAGAACAGCGTGCCAATGCCGAAAGGCTACTAGACGTCGCCTTTCCAACTTTTTCCGAGACTTCGGCTGTACGTGCCAACGGGGCAAGTCCTTTAGGTGTCAAAATTCAGTCTCCTCTTGAGACTTCAATGTTTTGTAGGTGGCTCCTAGAAAAATCTACTTCTCCTTATGCCCAAATGTTTGCGGCTGCAAGATTAAAGGGTCTCGTCCTGGATCATTATACAATGTTTTCCATGCCACAAAAAATAGAACTGAGTACGGGTTTGCTCTTTTCGGGCTGAATAGCTATATATTGTGTTTTGACAGTGAAATAATAAGCGCGTTTTTTTTTTTTTTCTGCAAAACCATTTGTCTAATTTTTGTTATAAATTTCAAAAAATAAATAAATGAAAATAAAATATAAGGGAATTTTGTGTTGAATTATATGGCACAGCATCCAGACTATCAGCCTTTTGTTTTATCTTCTCTTGCACAACTTTTTGCTACTATATCAAAAGTTGGATGGTTTGAAGGCGAAGAATTTAAAAATATTACTAATGATTTGTCAAATTTTATTCAGGTAAGTTTTATGATCTGGTTTTATATCGTTTTTAGTATAAATGTAAAGTGAGAACCCTTTATGCAACGCGTATAATTCTTTTGCACTTAAAGTCCACACCAGACCATATTATTGTAGGTTTGCAAATTCTTTCGATAACTGTCGCGGAAATGAATCAACAATCTTCAAGAAATTTAACTAAACAAAGAAAAACAGGTGTGTTTTGATTTACAACATACTATTGTTTTGTCTTTTCAAGGATTATTTATATATTTGACAATTTTTATTTAAGCAATTGGGTTCAGGGATACCGCGTTATTGGAAATTTTTCAGCTAGGATTAGTCGTTTTGCGAAGATTGCTGAATGGTGGAATTTTATTCGCGAATGGTTCGATACATTTTTCTTAATATTCGCGCGCAACTTAATGTATAATTATCTTAATTAATATATATATTTATATATTTTCTCCAGATCTTCAGGAACATAAATCGAAAGAATATTGTTTAACATTGCTTCGCAACTGTTTTGCTTTTGATTTTATCGGCACCTCTCCTGATGAATCCGGCGAAGATGTTGGAAGCATTCAAGTAAGATTTATCATAGTAATATCTTTGTTTGGATTTTATACGCTATTTATATAACAGATTATTTTTTGATTAATAAACTATAGGTTACATCATCGTGGCGTTCAACAGTTGAAGATCCATCATTTCTTCAAATCATGTTTGAGGCATATAAACAGTTTCAACCACCTCACTCAAGCCAAGTACTATATTTTTGCTATACCTACATATAGTATTTCACCTATAATTATTCAACACTAATATTTTATAATTTAACAAGGTTATGGAAGTTATTGTTCAAATTTCTTCCATTCGCAGATCTCTATTTAATGAAGAAGAGAGATCCAAATTCTTATATAGTCTGATGAAAGGGATCAGTGAAATCCTAATTGGAAACATAGGACTTTCTGACTTGAACAATTACCATGAGTTTTGCCGCCTTCTTTCTAGATTTAGATCAACATATCAATTGAGTGAAATTGCTGAAAAATCTGGATACAATGAATGGATTGATTTGGTTGCTGATTTTTCTATTAAAGGCTTTAATAATTGGCAGGTACTGATCTTTATCAATGTTTTATCTCTCTAATAATATTTTCATTTCCAAAACATGATCTAGACGCGATAAATTTATGCTTTTATGATTTTTTTTTTTTTTTTTTTTTGATTTCATGTTTTTAGTTAGTCCCGAATAGTGTGCAATATTTGCTTACCTTTTGGTCAAAAATGCTTTCATCAACTGGAAGTTCACGTGCGGGTTCGGTATCAAAACTCGAGTTAATCGCGTCCAGGGTAACTTTAGTTAAAATTAAACAAATAACTGTATACAATCGTCTACTAGTATTCATCATTTCTCTTTATATTCAGCTAACGCATACATTTATCACATCAAAAATTGAATCCGTAGAAACAACTATAGAGGGTGTAATTGACGGTTTGTTTTTATTATTATAATAGTATATTTATTTAGACAATAATTAATAAAATTCCTACTTTTTTTCATAAAAGATCCTTTGGAAAATGAAGATGCACTTATTAATG